GGTTGCCCTCTGAAAGGCTATTGATTTGGTAAGATCTCTGTGAACAAAATGCCTTTGTAACAACTACAGAAACAGAATGGGAACTCACAGTAGCTAGTTGAAACACAATCATGAGAAAAAGTACCCTGAAAACAGTGGAGAGAGTGTATTTACCATGAATGTCCTACCCCTTTTCCTAACCTGAGCAGCATTCTGAGGACAAAGTTATACTGTGGATAAAAGAGAAGATTGTGGCCAGGAAATTCACTTTGGATACCAATACTATTATATAGCAAACACTAAAGATTATAGTAAACCACACCTCTGGGTTTGTCTGTGAGGGCATTTAAGCATTTAAGCTAATAACATAACCTTTATGATTCATTCTTCACAATTTCTTGATTGATTAATAGTGTGATGTCATTGTATGGTGATGGAATTTGGGAGATGGAGCCCAAGAATTTGAAGTTGAATCTTATCCTGGCCTCTTTACTCTTCTTTCTGGATGTCATGATGTGAAGTGATTTTCACTGCCACACTTTCTCCACCATGACATACTCACACCTCTGAACCCATGGATCAAAAAAATATCTCCTTTTAAGTTATACTGTTAGTTACTTCAAAGAATCTGGAATGAACACTATAGCAGATAGCTTTTTCTGAAACCCCAGATAGTTTGGTTGTTAAATGTTTTTTTTTTGTTGTTGTTGTTTTTGTTTTTGTTTTCCTGGCAGAGTGTGCCAATGAAGAGTAGAATAAATATCCTCTCCTTCAAATGTACAGATATCAAAGTACAGTCATGAGAATGAAGATCAATCATGGAAGCATGAATTTATCAGAGATAAAATCTTCCAGAGACAAATACAATAGAAACAGAGATTCTCGAACTGCTTGATGAAGAATTGAAAATAAGTGTTTTAAGGAATATCATAAAAATCAAATAAATACAAATAATTAAACAGAGGAGTGAAAACAATAAAAGTTTATATATTAATTAGCACAATGACATGTACTGTTAAAAAATGAGAACACTTATCTTTGCTTTCAATATCTCATGCCTATCTCTGAAACAGAAACTTACTTAACCAAGTTTTGTTAATCTGTAAGTGAAAAATCCAGTGAATGAAGTAAAAAATGCTAAAAGAACATCAGCAGCAAAATAGACCAAACAGAAAACTGTGAGTGCATCTGACAATTGTCAAAGAGAAAATTAATGAGATGGAAAGAAAACAAAAACTCAAGCTTATGAGATGTATAAAATACTGACAAAGAGATGTAAAGAACAAAGAACAGCAACACAAACACAAAGCGACACACTGCCCAGTTATGCCACATAAGCCATTCCTGGTACCTGGGACCACATAGATAAAGCTGGAGGGCATTGTATTAATTGAAGTACATTAAGCACAGAGAGACATATTTCATATGATGTCACTCATATAAATTCAAGACTGCTGATACTTAAGAAGTAGAGAAGAGACTGGTAGTTACCAGAGGCTGACACAGATGGAAAGATGATTGGGGTTATGCTGGTCAAATATAAAATGTATTCTTCATTTTACATTTTTGAGAACTTCTCACACGAGTACTGTATTTATAACATTTCTACCCTTTCCTCTACCAATCCCAGCTTCTGCTCTGTCCCATTCCCTGTCAAATACACGATCTATTTTTAAATGATTATTGTCACATGTACAGACACACAAACATACAGACCCACAGCAACACACAGCACCCCACCCCCCCCCCCCCCACACACACATTCTGTGATTGGATAACCTATAAGGGCCTTGTTCTTGGCGAAGACTGATTCTCCTTCTCTTAGCAATTCTTAATTACATATAGATCTTCATCTATGGGCAGGGTTGTGTGAGATTTCCTCCATCCATGATGGCCATGTTAACTGTGCCATCATGGTACATAACAGGTTTAAGTAGGCATTGAGAGATTTCACAGGTGCAACAATTACAACAATTTAAAAATCTGCTATTTAACATGTTGATTATAGGTAATACAATCATATTTAAAAATTATATCATATTGAAAAAAGAAAGAATAAAACATAGTTGATTATGCTGATTTTGGAGTAAGCATGTCTTTCCAGTTCCCACTGAGTTCTACCAGGTAGTATTACTGGTGAGAAATGATCAATCACATATATCTTTTTTCTTCTGTAATTAATTTCTTTCAAATGAAAAAATATATACATTTATTATCTCTCCTCTTGGAATCATATCCTTGGGATGATATTGTATTCTTCATAGTATGTCCTTGGCAAGTGTCCTCAAATTTCTTACTGTTTCCATGACATACTATTTCTTTTTCCTCGAGTTATGAGCCAATCATTTCATCAGATCTTCCAAGCTGCAAACTTTGTGCCAGATACTGACAACTCAGTTTTACTAATGTTTAAGTAAGCTTTTGTGATACAATTATCAAGATTTTATAATTCTAGTTGGTATATTGTGAGAATTAATGGTACCATTTTATGAAGGCTGCTCTCTGTCTGTTGGAATGACTATTTCGTGTGAACAACTTGGTCTTGGGATTCTAGGGTGGTTCATTGGTTTCTTTTTTCTTTTTTTGAAACAACCTTAGTCATATTAAATTACTGAAGTAGCATACAGTGAACAGAAGGAAGGCCTCTCTCTCTGGCTTGACAAGGAAGTAAACAATCCCTTAGCTGTCAACTCCCTCCTGAGGCTGAGAAAAATTTCTCTTTGCTCTCAGCATCTCAGCAGATGCATATTTTAGACCTCTCTCAGATTCTTAAATAGAAAATCACTTGACTTGGTATGGCATCTTCTTTCCAGACTCAGAAATACCAAACAGGCCTCATTTGGGTCTATATGAGCAGGGGATAGAAATCTGCCGTCTCCTTGGATTTATGTGTAAGCCAGAAACTCCTAAAATATTTGTGGATTTTTTTTTATTGAAGATAATTTTATATACTATATTCTGATCACATTCTCCCCTCTCCAACACCTCCCAGGTACTTCTACCTTCCACCTACACCTTCTTTCCCTCATCAGAAAACAAGCAAACAAACTAACCTACCAAAACCAAATAAACCAAAATTAATAATAAAACCAAATATATGCATGCATATATGTATATATGTATATATGTATGTATGTATTTCATTTTGTTTCCAGTATCATGAGAGGTAGGGGTAGTAGAAGGCAGGAAAGAAAACAAAAGATGAGATAGTATTCATTTTCATTTTGTGTATTATACCATAATATAACTTTCATAATTTTTTAAGCAATGTTTCTTTGTGTAGCTCTGGCTGTCCTGGAACCTGCTCTGTAGATGAGGCTGGCCTCGAACTCGAGATCCACTAGCCTCAACCTCCAGAATGCTGGAATTAAGGACATGCACCACCATCTCCCAGAAAACTTCTGTAATTGTTTAAGAAGAATATTCCTATATTGGGAAAGAATTTTAAGTTAGAAAGGGAAAGATGCAATTACTTTTTTGCAAAATAGAGTGTGACTATTTCTTCCATTACTTTTGCATTCTACCATTTGAATGACTTGTATTTATGAACGACTGCAGTCTACACTGGTAGGGAGATTCTGTTAATACAGAATGAGTTCTAGAAGTTTTACAAATAAGAGTTGTTCTCATGTATAATAATGCAGCCATCCTTCTGCATCCATGGGTTTTATATCCATGAGTTGAACCAACCATGGATCCAAAATATTAAAAGCACTCTCATCTACACTGGATATACACAAATATTTTCTTCTTGCCATTAATCCCCAGAATGTAGAAACATCTTTCATAGCATCAACACTGTGTTTTTATAAGGAATATAGACATGACTAAAACAGGGGTATACAACTCATAGACCCAAGATCACATACAACCTGTCTATGGCTCTGATTCAACAAAGAACTGTATACTTACTTAAAACATTATGATTTTTTTTCATTGTTTTGTTATATGTTTACATAATTCTCAAGTATGAACTTTGTTGATGATAATGTTGTGTCATGGGAAATAAATGCAAGTGTGCTTTTCAGCCTGAGGGCTACAGGTCTGCCACCTCTGGAAATGTATATGGGAGAATATGAATGCCCAGATTGAAAGGAAACTCTTTGTTATTACATATAAATAACTAGGTACTCTGATAAGGTGTTATAGAATCAATTCTTTTGATACTGAAAGATAATGCACATGGTTCTCATAAATATGAGTACCATGAAACAACTCTTCCTTCAAGAAATACAGTTAAGTGAAATGCTGAAAACATCTGTGGAATCCATGATGTATAGCTGTACTATATTCATGAAAATATTTTTCTCAGCTATCTAAAAGTTTAAGAAAATAAGTGTCTACAGAAAGCCAGCTCCAGAATTTAAAATAAACCAGAGGTGGAGTTTTTAGTTGGTTAATTACTGCAACTGAAATAAATGTATATGAAAACAAACCCACAAATATGTAGTAGTATCCAGATTCTATATAAATTCAAGGAGACGGTAATGGCAGGAATATTTGTAACTCCATATAGTAAGGGACACTAGTGGTTGAGAATTCAGCCATTTTCACTGTGTAATTACCAGAATTTCTTTGCTATATTTATTCTGTTAGTAAGAAAAAGAAATAGTGAGCACTGAAGAAATGGCCCAATGGTTAAGAGTACTTACTGCTATTTCAGTGGACACAAGCTCTGTTCCCACTACCCATCTTATATAACTCACAGATGCCTATAACTCAAACTCCAAAGCATCCACTGTCCTCTTCTGGTCTGCATAGGTACACATACATATGACATACAATATACAGAAATACTTTAAAAAATAGCTTAGAGGAGCAGACATCAATGTGCAGTACAGAGGCAGGACTGTCTGATATTGAAGCACTCTGCTTCTTACCATTTTTTATCCATCACAATGCCATAGTCCACCAGGCACAGGAGAGGATGAGAAATTTACCCTATTTTTAGGAACATAGAGAGGAAGAAAACAAGTCTCTGACTCCCGATAGTAAATTAAAATGAACAAATAAACACAAGGATACTCGCTTGGGCAGCACATATACTAAAATTGGAACAATACAGAGATTAGCAGAGTCCCTGTGCAAGGATGACAGGCAAATTTTTGAAGTGTTGCATTTTTTTTTTTCAGGTAGAGATGGGAACAGGAGGGACCAGATGAGAGAATGGAGCAGGGAGAGTAATGTAAGAGATGCCTGAAAAAGGGGGGCATTCCAGGATGAGGTAGGAACCTAGTGTAAGGGAAACTCTCTTAAAGTTTCAAGGGTGACCCCTGCTAAGACCCCTTACAGCAGGGGACACATAGCCGGAACTGGCAACCTCCAAATATGAGGCAAGACTTCCAGTGGAGAGGTTGGGACACCAATCCAGCCACATGACGTTCGATGTACAATTTGTCCTATCTACAAGATGTGCTGAGGTAAAGGTGGCTCAGAAATTGTGGAAGTGGCCAACTAAAGAGTGATCTAGGGTTGGGGATTTAGCCCAGTGGTAGAGCGCTCGCCTAGCAAGTGCAAGGCCCTGGGTTCAGTCCTCAGGTTAAAAAAAAAAAAAAGAGTAGTCCAGCCTAAGTCTCATGCCATGAAGGGGAACACACCCCTGACAGGACCTGAAGTGCCGCGACCTAGAGGCTGGATGTCCCAGAGACCTAAGATAGAAACAAACACGACTTGCAACAAAACAAAACAAAAAAGTTGACAATGTAGTGATATTCTGCTATACTCATAGACTGACTGGTGCCTAGCCCAATTGTCATTAGAGAGGCTTCATCCAGTAACTGATGGAAATAGATGCAGACACCCACAGCCAAACTTTAGGCTGAGCTCTGGGAATCCAGATGGAGACAGGGAGGAAGGATTGTAGGAGTCACAGGGGTCAAGGACACCACAAGAAAACCCACAGAATCAACTAATCTGAGCTCATAGGCGCTCACAGAGACTGAACGGGCAACCAGGGACCTACATGGGACTGACCTACGCACTCTGCATGTATGTTACAGTTTTGTAGCTTGGTCTTCATGTGGGACTCTTAACAATGGAAGCGGAGGCTGTCTCTGACTCTTTTGCAGGGGTTTGAGACCCTATTCCTCCTACTGAGTTGCATTGTCTGTGGGGCGTTTACCCACCACCCCCACAGCTTCCCAGAGTTTTCTTGAGTGAAAGCAGCAGGAAATATTAGATAGAAGGATTTATAGCGGAGAATGTTGCGGAGATAAACAGATAGAAAATAAAGGATAGCCTCGAGAGGGCCTGGAACCTATTCCAA